AGGGTGTCATTGAGGGTGAATAATGTTATTGCAGTCATTCTCAGTGTCTGTCATTTCTGTAGCCCTAAGTGGGAAATGCTAAAATTTGATCGATCTTCCTATTCTTCTTTTGCCATTAAATCTTATGCTTTAAAGGAGGAAATACTCATCAGAGAAAGCCCAAGAAACTCTCTGAATCACACAGGGTGCAAGCAGAAGGACGGAAGGCTTGTGTGTATTTGCACTAGACAGCAGGCCACTTGTCAGGTCTCCTGAGTATGCTCAGAAGAAAGGAATTAGCACTAAGACCAGAGGCTCAGCTCTATCTCAAGCTGTTTGTCACACTGGGTACTAGAGCTGATTCTGGAAGCTTGTGGAAGGAGGGTCTTACTACTTTAAATTGCATTTGAACTTCACATTGTTCTGCTTCCTCCTTTGACCATGTGTGTATCATAGGGCTGCTGTTTGTTTTTTAGTGTGTTTAGTGGGGTGGTTTTGAGGTTTAATCCACAAGCCAGTGCTACTTGTGAAATTGAGTAAATACTAATAGAGGTGAGTCCAGTATTAATTGAAGCCAATGAATATTTGTTATGTATTTCAAAGGCCTGGTTTCAAGCTCATAGCATTCTTAGAAGAGATTTAGGGCAAGATTTCAGTAATTTCTGATATATTAGAGTGCTGTAGTGCAGAAAAAGAATTGTGGAGCAAATTTTTAGTAGGATCTTGAAGAGGCCAACAGAACCAGAGATAGACACAGTAAAATAGTCTGTTTTAAGTTATGCTTATAACCAGTCCTTTAGTTCTCCTCCAGTATAATCTGTAAAATCAGGGACCAGTTGTTCCTTCAAATCCTTTTTCATTGTGTGACTCTTCTGCCATTCCTATGCTAAATGGTTGACAAGGACTACTGACAATATTACCCCTCCTGTAAATAGCTTCAGCATAGATTTAAAAAAAAAAACACTCATCCATAATCTATATTATGTACATTAAAATGACATACAACTAGTTCACGTGAATCTTGATGGCTAAATGCATTTGTGATTCCTTTAATTCCCACTAGCTCATCCTTTTCAGCTCACATATTCCTTTTTACTGCATATGTACTGCACAACTTCTTGCAGATAAGTGCCAGCTTTTTTTTTTTTTTTTTTGATTGTACATGTATTTTCTGTCTAGAAAAAGGCCACTAATGTACTGGATGCTACCTAGTGGCCTGCAGTACTGCCAAACAGAAATAATTAATTATTCAGTGTTGTATGGTTGTCATTGGTTGATACATGTTTGAAGGTGTGTATAGGTTTTAAATGAGTTTGAAATACTTTTTTGGTTTTTGGTGTGTTGCATGTTGACTTGGAAACATTTTTCTAATTGCACATGTTTTAGCAGATGCATATATGACAGACAACCAATTAACTGAAGTGAAAATGAATGTATTGGTGAAAATCATTCTGAAGGTTGCCAAATTGCAGTTCTGTTAACTGCAGAGGAGGGACCTGAAAGGCAGGGATTTGTGGTGGGATGTTAAAACACAGCTACTGTTCCCTGGGAGCGATAAGAATTTGTTGAAAGGCTGTGGAAATGCAAAATCTCAGAATGTCTCTTTAGCTGAGCTGTCTTTGTAGAAACTAACAGAAAAGATACTTTGGCAGGAGAGTTAAATGAGTTTCAAATTCTGAGCTTGTCCACAGGGTGTCATCTGTTACAGAACCTTCTTAGTCAGGCATCATGAATGTTCAGTTCATGTTATGCTACAATCTCTACAAAGCAAATGTTTATTCTGTTCAACTGTACTCAACACAGTTGTTTGAGATTTTTCTGGAAAAACTAATTTAAACATTTTAGTGCTTTTTGGTGATTGCTTTCCATCTAGTTTGGACCTAGAAAGATATTCTTCTTTTTAAAACAAGAATGGCTATGACTCTATCAAAAAAAAGTGTGGCTGTTAGTTAACAATAAAGATATTTTTGGGTTTTACCCTCTGGAAAAAAAAAAGTCACATGTGACACTTAAAGTGTTCCACTAAGGAAACTCAACAATGCTGCAGGTGGGATAGGATTTAAAGTAAAGTTCTACTATTACAGAAATAGATCTGTTTGGTAGTTAACAAATAGGTACCTAAAATGTTTTACTAGTCTACAACATACTTACAAAATTATTCTGGTAATACAAATTTATATTTGTTGACTGGGGAATGTATCCTTTTTTATCCTTCAGAAATGCTTTTGCTTTTATCCATTCAGTCATATTTTATTACATACATCTGAGAACTGAAGCAAAAAATGTAGGTCATCTGAACCTTCTGGGAAATCTGCCTTGGGCATTGACAACTATTCATGTCAGCATTCCCATACACTCATTGGCTGATTACCACACTTCTGAAAATTACAACATAAGTGAACTGGCATTTCTGAGGGTATGTATTTTACCTTTGCCCACTAAGTTTAAATTGTCAGGTGCTAGGGTAATAATTTTTATTTTAAACTTCTTAAATATTCAGCATTGATGTGCTTGTCTTATGTTCACAAGCATAACAAAGGTTATATGAGGCCCATAGTGTAAGGCTGTGTAACACTGTAAGAGAAAGGATTAAATAAAATGAGAAATGTCCTTATTTGGATGGAGGTGTCTAGATGAAGAACCTTTAACTTATTTTTAAGTATCTATTTTAAATCTATTTTTCTTTTATGTATATGTATATAATACACAGTTGCGTGAATTACTTCTAACCTTCTGAGAAACTTTGGAAGGAAACCTCCTACCCTTACAAAAAATAATTCATTAGAGTGAGGAATTTATTATGTGGAAATGTATTGAAAATAAATGACCATTTAAATATTTAATGTTTTTACGTAAGTGTTTTTCCACAGTTAGAAGTTAGGAAAATTTGTTGAAAATATGTGAGCGGAAAAGTCCAGAATTCTCATGCATTCTTGAGAGCCTGAGGGGTTGTAGGTCTTTCTGTTTCTTGCAAAAGATAACTTGAAGTTAAAAATCTGAGTTTGGGAAGGAATTAAAAAAGGCAGTACAATGTGAAGAGCAATATCTAATAGTACAAAAACAACAAAAAAATGGAGATACTGATTCAGAAGTTTTGAAGGAAGTTTCTACAATATTTCTTGGGCAGAAAAGAAACCTTAAGTATGTTACTGGTTTCCATTCTGGACAGGGTTGGCAAATATGGAGAATGACAAAGTAGATGTAGCTGAACTGAAGAATTTCTTTTTTGTAAAAGCCCTAGCCTGCAGATGTAATTCTTTTTTGTTTCTTTGAGTAGAACGAGTGTGAAAATTTCAGCAGTAAGTTCAGCAGTAAGGATTATCATGCATTGTACCTGTCATTGTTCTCCGTTTTTCTGTATCTTGCTTGTATGTCAGATAAAAAGAAAAGACATCTAATCTGAAAGGGTGGGGGCAGAATATGGTTATTCTAAAATTAAAGCAAAAATAGGCATAGTCAGAGAAGAGTCAGAGAAGTCTTTGATAATATTAACTTAGACCTATAATACCCTGTATGTATGTACACTTTGTTTTGTCTTTATAATCATTTTCAGGAAGCTGTTACAGGTTCTGTTGCTAGTGGTTGATAGTTTTTTTTTCTTTTTCCTAAGAGGGAACAATGGAATGATATTGATTTTGACGGAGGTTCAGCTAAGAATACTGAATCTTCAGTTGATGTATAATGTCTTTAGAAAATTGCTGGCCTGGATTTGTTTAATTTTGTTTTTAATAGAAGTGTATGAGAAACAGTGCAATAATTTTTCTTTTGTCATTGCTACTTTCTCGTCTCTTTCTAAAATCCAGTAAAGCAAGTATTTTAATTAGCAGAGGTCACAGCATTGCAGATTTTGGTGTTGCGTTTGGAAGAAAAGTATCCTTCTCTGAACAAAAACACCAAGACTAAAGACACTGGCACACCTAACCTGGCAATTTTCTTTCAAATGAAATGGTAGTGCAAACGATTCTACAGAATATGTGGGAAGATAGATTCTTAACTGTCACAAACCATTTTCTCCTCCCCCCAGATATTTTTCCCCTACCAATGTTTTTGCTTCAGATGAGCTGACTCATTATCAACTTCACCTTCTGGAATTCTTACTGAATCTGAACAATGTTGTTAAAGCAGAAACCCCTTTGCCTTATCAGGAATTTAATGCTGAAAGTTATGTGGATTTTGAAATAATTCAGCATTGGTATCACCTGTTGCTCGTTTTGTCTTGTGGAGTGCCAGGTTATTCTTAGGGGAGAGCTAGGAAGGAGAATGGAGGAAGAACTGATGAAGCTTTTATTAGTACTCAAGAAGAAAACTAATCTTAGGAACTTGCTAATTATTGGAATAAGGGTTCATTGTCTGCTATTGGTGTTCTCATTGAGTATCATATAAAGCTGATTTAAGTAATTGAGTATTTTTTAAGCTTTGATGCATATCAAGGTATTTCATTTTAATTCCCTGATATTTTGGCTAGACCACTTCAATCTATTGACCTTTAATATACACAACTTATAAATATATATTTTTTCAAGTCTTTTAGAGTATTTTTCTAGTTTTATGCTACTTTCTCCACATATGCTGATGTTTTGAATCATCTGATACCCTAACGTGAGAGGTGCTTACTCCTTACTAAGGGAAGTAAGCAGTCCCCACTGGAATGCCACTCAGCTCTATTAATTTATCATTGTCTCATCAGTGCCTCTTGAGAATCTTGTGTGGTCCAAGTCATCAGGTCCTGAATAAAGTATGATTTATATTCATATGCTATATTTATCATATTTATCATGCATATATTTATCATTACAGAAACTTTCATTTCTGTAAGCATAGGAAGAGAGTTGATGTGGTTTTAGGCATGATGATGAGTACTGTGTAACTCTTCTAATCTATTACTTTCTAGTTCTAGTACATTATGTAGTATAGTGCATAGTACATGGAAGTTCAATGTGCTTTAAAACTAGGTGTTAATCCTGATCCTTGATCTTTCTCTGTGGTGTAGCCTAATTCTGTTCCTACTTTGTTTCTTTCAGGACATGAGAGACAAAGCCCACAATGGCAGAGATTTTCGTGAAAGGTTTGGTTGAACCCTACGTGACTCTTAAATGCTGAAAGCAGAAGGCCCTAATTGGTGTAGCTCAATTTGGAGCAAAAAATAATTTTAAACTTCAAAAATAATTATGTCAAAGAAAGGTCGTGCCAAGGGAGATAAGCCCGACATGGATATTGAAGCTCTGCAAGCTGCTAATGAGGAGCTACGAACTAAACTAACCAACATTCAGATAGAATTTCAGCAAGAAAAAAGCAAGGTATGTATTTGCATTTTATTGATCATTCTTTTAAATAGTAGTGATATGATAAAGAAGGGGAGCTTGAATCTCAAGTTAATTCCCTACTAAAATATGCATTAAACTTATAAGAAATGTCTCAAGAACCACTCACTGATAAACTGAAATTTTTGTCAGGAAGGTGTGGCATGAATTATGAGAAGAACTGAGCATTAAATTCCATTCTCTTGCCAACTATTTTAACACTGTACAAAAGTTAATAAACATTCCCAAAGACATTGTTGCTGATATTTGCTATGATTTCAATACTACCAGCACTAGCTTAGCTGGTCTTAGAGGAAACAAAAGGATTTGATCTTAGCACTGAAAACTGTTTGTTAAAAGAAGTATATGCAGAGTTGAACACAAGCACCTTCAAACCATGTTATGTACACATCTACAGAGATAGTAACTTGCCTGGAAATAATGTGTGTAGGAGTCCTGGTTTGATTTGCATGGGTTACGTGTGCTATTGTCCATAGCAGCTCTGATGTGTCTGTTTATTAATGAAACAAATCCATAAATATTTATCTATCTAGCATATATTCAACAGGTATTTGAGTAGTCAGGAGAACACATAGGATAAAGTGTTCATTCATAAAGTACATAGCATCATAGAATTGTAGAATGCTTTGTGTTGGAAGGGACCTTTGAGGTCACGTAGTTCCAGTTTTCCCCATTATGGGCAAAGTTTTTGTTCAGAGATACTTTCTAAAAGTCTAAAGGATTTATCTGAAGAAGAAATATATACTAAAACCATGTTCACTTGATATAACATGGTTTTGTTGCGTACCTGTGTCATTATATTGGTGCGAAATTTGAAACATCTTTGGAACACATAAATAGTAGTAGTCCAGTATGTTAAAGTTTCTTTAACAGTCCTGCGTGATATTCACCTTTGGATGGCATCTTCTTTCATATTTTATATCATGTTATCATTTCATGACACAAAGAAACAAGCCTATAAATAGAATCTTCAGAATTTATTTGTTTTTTTCCTCTGGAAGGAATAATAAAGCCCTAATTCTTGTTTGACTGACTGTAATAGGTTGATTTCAGATCAGACAAACTAAATTTGTTGGAAAAGGGAAATTTCTATGAACTCAGTTTGAACACAGACAAAAGATGGAAAAGAGCATAGGATGATCTTCACACAACAGAAAACTGAAAATTGCTCCATCTTGGAGCAAAGAAATGGATGAAGTATTTGCAAAACAACGTGTAATGGTGTTACCAATTAGAGTTGAAGGGCATTTGAATTCAGATCTATGCTCTTGTTGTATAAAGTCAAATGAACAATACTTTACAAATCACTAAGATGAGAGCATTTGGGTCATCTGTCAAACACTGTAAATAGCAAAGTTATTAGGAATAAATGTGGAAGAACTCAGTTCTGATAGGAGTGAAATGTTAACATGCTAGACATGTTAATGTGACTTCTTGTCCAGGTAAAACAGCTATTAAGAAGGAGAGGAGTGAGACATCAATATGCAGATATTAAACAATGATTATCCTAAATTTGGAGTAATAAACAAGAAAGTATCACAATGAAATCTTCTAGATGCTATCCTGTTCTAAGTTGCTGACAGAAAATGCAGTGTGATCTACAGAATTCTATTCAGAATTGTAGTGAAGTTTGTGCAATTAATGTATCTGTCAAATTATACATCTACATTTTGTTCTGGAATAAAAGGACAGTTGCTGCAGCCTTCAGGAGTTTCTAGGGTATCCTGATAGAAAACAAGGAACTATCCTCAGATGTGAGCAGAAACACATTTTCTGTGATGCTCACACATATTAAGAGTTTAGACTAACAAATTATCAGAATTGGGAATGCTGAAGGCAAGAAAGATTGCAGCAAATGCACAAGATGGAATTTTTTTACTTTTCTTTTAAAGAGTTATTTGAGAAAGTAAGCAAGAAAGTAAGCAAGTTATATTGTTGAGAAGAGTAAACAGGAAGAGGATATTTATGAAAGTGCACAGAGAATAGAGTGAATACAACAAGCTTTTTTTGCTAGAGAGAAAGAACAATGAGCAAGATCACATAAAATAAATAATCAGCAGAGGCAGGTGGGTGGGAAAAGTGGTAACTGAGCAGTGAGTGTCTGTTACATAAAAACAGTGTTTGACAAAGTGGAATTGCATTTGGTTGCGGCCTCTGTCACTTCTGTGCTCTTGTTAGAAGAGAAGATTTGGAAAAATGATTGCCTGAAAGCAAAATCAAGTAAAAATGAGTTGGTTTCTTAGGTAACTGGAAGTGATAAGAGCTGTTTCTTTTACAAGGTGTGATAAAATGATATAATCTGGGAAGAAGCCAGGAGAGTTCCTAGGCTGTGAATGATGTGACAAATGGTCACATCCAATAAAGAGATGAAATCAGACCTGTAGATTCTCCCAAAGACTTTAACTTAAAATTCTGAGTTCTACACTTGCAAATTTAATGATCTGCAGAAAAGTTATCACGTCCTAAGAAGTACTAAATTTTAGCACACTTTCTTTTCTCCCTGAAATTGTTTAAATTTTACTTTAGCGCCATGTTCTTGCAATCCAGTCAATTGTGACTCTATCCTGTGACATACAAATCAGTTCAAGTAGTATGAACTTTCTGTCTTGAGTATCATCATGTTCTCTTTATTCTGAAACTAGACTGTTTCTCAGCAATTTACTCTAAGACATGTTAAACGTCACTTCCAAGAAAGAAGTTGGGACTGTTGAGACTGGAGAAGTCTTGGAGGGACTTACCAAGATGCATAGATAGCTGATGGGGGAAAGTAAAGATGGAGCCAGGCGCTTTCAGTGGTGCCCTGAAAGCCTGTATGAATTTTTTTTTTTTTTGCTTATTGGCTTCAGTTCTTGGTTATGCTTCAAACTGTGGATAGAACAGCTTTATGCATTTAAAAATAAATACATTTTAACTGTGTTTGAGTTCATTTCGAAACTGAGACAGTTAAGCATATGGGAAAATACCATATTACTATTTTTGTTCCATCAGTTGCCAAAAGTGTAAAGATTAACATTTTGGGAGGGAGAGAGGGACAGAGAGTTTATGGCTCTCAAGGAAGACAACTGTAATAGAGTTGATCTTCTATCTTCTCTGATAAGAAGCAGTAACAAGAATAGGCTTTTTAAAGACCTTGAAGATTAGGATGCATCTATTTTTCTGGGTTTGTAGAATGAAATGCACTTAAGATGAGATGCAGAATTCAGGGGTTACAGAGTTGTTATTTGCATTGAGATTGGAGAAACTTTGTAAGTGAGATCACTGGATGATATGTGATATTCAGTTAGTCTGAAGGCTTGAAACGTATTGTCATGGACAGCAATAATGGATATAAATGTTGGCGTGCACTCAATGACAAATGAAAACCATTATTCAAGCATGCAATTCTGTGCTTGAACTCCCACAAAATGTCAGAATCCTTTTCACGTATATTAAAAATGCTTTTAGGAAGTCACAATCAATGTGTTATATTGAAAACTGTTTTTCATTCTCATACCTAATATATGACAACTGATTTTAAAATACTGTAGTTCTGGAGGAATATCAGCATTATTTATAATTGTCATTGTACAATTTGTTTTCTTATGTAGTATTTCTAGATCTCATTTTACAGTTTCATCTCAATTTTCTTTGGTCATCAGTAGCAGATTCAAGTGAATTTGAGTGTTGGTAGGTTTGCAAATTCACTCATCTGTGATAGTGAATAGGCTGAACTTTCTCCTAGACTCTCTCATGGAAGTGAGTGCCCTAATGTATGCAGTGAAGATCCATGCTATCTGCTGTAGGCTTGGATCTTCAAGTTATTTCACCTGATGCAATAAATTATGGGTATCTAAAGAAGATATTTTCCAGTAGCCAGACTTACATTTAGGGGGGAAATAATTGTTTTTTGAATGAACATATATGATCTGGATCATCCTGGAATGGGAAAACAGTACCTGTGTGATAACACCCTAGTCAAATGGTGCCTGATTCACACCTACAGTTATAATGCTGTCCCAGTTGGTGTTTAGTCTACATTATATCTAGAATGTAACTTCCGTATCCTCCTGTATAATCAATGAAAATTATGTAAAGGAATATTATATAATCAAATAATATTAAGATGTTATAATAATGAAATAAGCAAGAGAGTTAGGCACAGCGAGACAAAGAGGATAAATAGGATGCTTAGCCGTGTTGTGGGCTTGCTCAGGAAACTCCAGTGGAGTGGATCTTCCAAAGAGAGAGAGATCCGTCCCTACTGGTAGTCAGTTCTTAAATGGGTCTAGGAGAGGTGCAGCCAGGCTCCACCCCTTCAGGCTGCACAGGTGAATTGCTTTCACCTGTGCTCCCAGGGCTGACTCATTGCTTGCCTCAGGTGATTAATCAGAGGTTCAGGCCGTGACTCAGCAGATCCCATACACCTCCCTATCCTGCTTTCACTGTTTCCTTTTTATTTTTTAAGGGGTTTGCTGTCCTTTCTGCTGGGAAGACTTCAGGTGGAGTCCAGATTCTGGAAATCGTGAAGTTAGTGCTAGGGGCTTGATATGTAATAGATTGGTCTCATTTTATGACCAGTCGAATTAAGTTGTAAAGTTGGTTTCATTGGATGAGTTATAACTGAGGCTTTTGAGTTATGCTGTGTTTTCCCTAAAGCAAACACGCAAGTGTACCTGTTTAGATCCAGCCTGCTTACAATGAAGAAAATAGCAAAGTTTTCTGAACCTTCCCTGAACGAGTATTATCGCTTTAATTTAACCCTTTTGTTTTTGACTGTACAATCCAGAACTGTGGAAAAAATAAACTGTATTAATTATGCCTTCTTAGTAAATTTTATTCTGAATATTAATAGAGATCCTCCCCTCCATACAGCACTAAAATCTGGGGCAAGCTGCATCTTTGACTTAGTTTACCATAAATTAAGTACATTAATGCATTGTGTGACCACAGGTCCCAGCAGTGCACTGCATAGGTGCGAGAAGTCTAGGAATGCTTTGGCAGGTAATAATATCCAGCTGCTTGATGACCTGGTTTTTTACCATGCAGTGTTATGTGGATTATATCTTTTTATTGCCACTCAAGGTTAAAACACAAATCTTTGAAATCTCTTCTTCTCTCTGGCTTTGTTTTAGAGACCACGTGTAGAGCCTATATTCTGGCAGATGCAATGATAGGGGTTGTAGGAAGGCGTTGCTGATATTAGTTGTGATTGGATACATTATACGCTTTCTGGTAAACTACAGTACAGAAGCAAACTTCTCCTTTTTTTCTCCCCCATCTATATTAATGTCTAGTCTCACTTGGAATTTACCTTAGGTCAAACAGTGGATTTGGGTTTAGGAATTTGGAACTCAATTCCCAAAGACAATATGTGTATATAAAAGGTAAATAGATGACTGACTCAGAATCCCATTTGCAGTACAGTGACAGTGCTCCTCAGCTACTGGAGGACGCTGTGGGAATAAATTACCTGAGCCTATATGAAGATCTGAGTCGCTGAGCATCCTTGAAGTATGGTCCATTGAGTAGCAGAAAACTTTCTCATCCTGAACAGGAGCATTTTTCTCTCTCTGCTTCCTTTTCCATCAGCTTGTTGAGTGCAATGTGAGGGTTGTGGATGAGAGTAATCTGGGGATTTGGTGGAGAAAATTGCTAGAGAACTGGGTTGGATGCTTCTTGGTGGTGTTTTACTTCCTAAAACTGTGAAAGCTTGTTGCTGGCAGCACCTCTGCAAAGAAGATTCCTCTACACGCAGGCACAAACAGCTTTTTTCAAGTTCTAGTTCTCTTGCTGTTTGAGGAGAGAATTTTGCGTTTACAGTCTTTGCTTTTGAATATTCAGGATGACTTTTTAAGAAGGTTTATGAAAAAGCTCTCTTGATGACTTGTAAAGGTGTGATGGTGCTTGCTAATCAATTTTTTACATTGATGTTCCAGGTGGGTAAATTGAGAGAGAAAATCCAAGAGGTTAAGCAAGAAAGGGAGCAGGAGCAGCACAAGCACACGGCCTACGTTTCTGAACTGAAAGCTAAGCTCCATGAGGAGAAAATGAAGGAGCTTCAAAGTGTCAGAGAGCTGCTGATCCGACAGCATGAGCAGGAAGTGGCGAGAATGGTGAAAATTAAAGACAGTGAAATTCAGCGTTTGCAGTCAACAGTCAATGTGCTGCGGGACGGGGCAGCCGACAAGGTGAAGACTGCGCTGCTGAGTGAGGCGAAGGAGGAGGCCCGCAAAGCGTTTGACAGCGAACGAATGAAGTTGCAACAGGAGATCTTGGAGCTGAAATCTGGTAAAAAGCAGCTTGAAGAAGCTTTGAACAACATCATGCAGGCGGATAAAATGAAAGCTGCCGACCTGCGCATGGCTTACCAATCACATCAGGATGAGATTAATAGAATAAAGCGTGAATGTGAGAGGGATATCCGCAGGCTGGTAAGTTCATGAAATAATACATCTGTTTATGGCAGCATTTAAGATATTCCTTTATCTGCCCACAGGTAAATGTCTAACCTGTTCCGCAGTAACATCTTCCACCAGTGGTGGCTGGTTCAATAGGCTACTACTTCCACTACTTTTTCTTTCATACAGCATAGCTTTATGCCTTGGCTCCATGGCTATTCCAATCCAAAGCTTTATGTCCCATCAAGTAGAATGTGGTTGAACCAGAACTTTCCAGATTGAAAGTTTCTTTGTTTCTTTCAACAAATCATAGAAATCGATTTTATTTTTTTTTTTTCTTTTCCACATGTTTGAATTATACTACTTATCAGAGTGAGTCTGGCCAAAGCTGTGAGGCACTGCTTATTAGGCAGTTTAGTGACACTTTTGTGAGATGGACAACTTAACTTTCCAGAGTAGTTTTGTATTTTTATCTGGCAAATTCATTGTGCTGAACCAAGACAAAGTATTTTCTCCTTGTGAATGATTGCCCAGATCATTCAATTTGAAGTATTGTTACCTTTTTTGGCTTCTCAAAGCTTCTGATTTTAGATTATGACTTTTAGGAGCAGAAAAATTAGGGTGCAGTACAGAAGGTTCTGTCATGTTTTGTAAACCATAGGACTTCAGTGCCTATTGTATAAAATGGAAGGATGGGCAGTATTTCCTGATAGTGGATGCCCCAGATATTTCAAATTTGTAACTATATAAAATGCAATGTGTATACAAGGAGGGCTGTACACATTGATACATTTAGAGCAATTCAGCACCAAAGGACATTTGTTTGGTGCTTGATTCTTCCTATTCAAGATGGGAGGTAGTTGAGTCACCATCCCTGAATGTGTTTAAAAAAAGTTTGATGCTCAGGGACATGATTTATTGGTGGGTTGTTAGGGTTGGGAAAGAATGGTTAGGGTGTGGTTGGACTTGATCTTTAAGGTTTTTTCCAACCTGAGCAATTCTATGCTTCTAAGATCTGGTTGTTAATCTGGCTAATCAAGCAAGTCAATAGTTATGCAAGTAGAATGTGATATTATAAGAAAATATTTCTCATGTAAAGAAATCTACATTTCAAATGGATTAAAACTTTGGTTTTCTTAAGCAAAAGTTATTTTATCATTTTGTACTTATATGGATATGTTCTCTTATTTCTTCTGTTCCTTGGGATGAAAGATGGTGAAGATAAGCTATAAAGAAGTATTATATCTGTTTAACAGTGATCCTTTTCTTTGGTCTGAGGCAATGAAAGCTTTTAATGTAGTTAATATTTTTTCTTTAAATTAACTGGATCTTGATAAACTCTCGAGGGCATCATTTCCTTGATTAATTAATGACCACTGCAAAGAATGTGATACTACTGTGACCGTAACTTGTTTTACATCTTGTTCTATATTATAAATCTAGAATCAAATAACTATTATAAACCAGGTAATTTTACAAAGTGTTAAAGAGGAGAGAAACTTACTGTCTTGTTGCTTGTGTTGTTCTAGAGAACAGCTGTTATTTAAATATACCCTTCTCAAAGATAAGAGAGTGAGAGATATTTATCATCCTCAGTTCTTTCATCTTAAATTGCTCCAACAAATACACCTACAGTGAGTCTCACAGTGGTGTTGTACAGAACAGCTTAGTTCTTTTCTTCAAGAGTTGAGCCTTTAAGTCTGCTGCAATACGAAGGTGAAGGAGGGCACTCAAGTTTTCTGTCTGTCATGAAACAGTCCTGCCAAATCATTCCAAATTATAATTGGAGCTTTACTGGGATTCTCCGTTACTTCCTCTGTTATTCAGTACAACTGTGCCTATAAAAGATAATTGTATTTGGTGTGTGTGCAGATAACTGCTGTTACCTGTTCACAGCTCTGGAAGAATTTTGCCGTTAGCTTCACGAGGTTTCACTTCAAGTGTTTGCATCCTTCTGCCCCTTAAGCAGAAACAATGAGGAAAAATGTCAGACAATTGGTGTTGCCATGTAGTGGTTTGACTCCTTTCAAACTTAGAAATTTCAATATTTCATTAAATTGTGTGACATTCTTTTGAATGAAGTGCTCCTTCAAGGTATTCATAACAATTCAGGTGGTTATTCTTGTATGGGATACTATTTCAGTCTGTGGCAAAGTAAAAACCAAAACAAACAAACAACGAAACAAAGCACCTCAAACACTGCAGGGGTTCTTGGGAGCTACTGTCTTCCTCTGGGAGACTAAGTGGGATTATAGTCAGATCATCAGGATGTTTCTTTCTCCCTGCCTCAACATTTTAATCAGCGCAAGGGATGCTCGCCTACAATTTCAAACCAAGTTTATCAGCTACAGATTTGGAGTACTTGATTGGCTTAGATCTTATCCTTGAGGAATTAAATGACAAGAATGTATGAATATAGAGATATAATTACATTGGATACATAAGCAGCCATGCTTGCCTTGTACAAGTGTCAGTATTTTAGAACGATGATTAATCAGTTTTGAGGTATGTCCTCACTTCTGAATTGAGCCATGAAAATTACCCAACAGGCCTCAGTGCAAAAAAGATGAATGGGAAGATCCCAGTGCCAAATAAGGGAAAGGAAAATAGCTATTTGGCAAAGGAATCACTCTTTCTCTGTACAGCATGAAATTATATGGAAATATGTCCCTATAATTGTCTTCATATAGTAGTTATGTAATTTTTCATTAATTTGTAGAATGCTTGTGGGCATAGATTTCTTGTTTTGTTGTAGCTTTAGTTTTTGTTTTCCTTCCCCAAAGAAAATACATTCTTGCTATGTATATGCAAGGGCACAATGTGCAGGCAGCTGAAAACTAGAAATTAAAAATAGCTAGTTACAAACTGGAGATGCAGGTAAAACAGAAGATTTAAAAGGAAAGATACAACTTGAAGAGTAATAATTGCTCTTGCTTATTTTTTTATCCACTATTCTGAGCAGCTAAGCTGAAATGGTATTATTCTATTTTTGGATCAGATTATTTCAGACAAAGAATATGCACAGCCATAATTGCACTTCTTCATCCACTGAGCTTCATGCAACATGAACTGCCCCAAAGCATACCTTCAGTTGAGGGCTGCATAGGTGCACCTCAGTAATTCTCTACCAACAGACCAACAGACTCTTGTTTCAGTAGCATGTTTGTTAGCAGGGTGCCTGGTTTTCCTCTAAAGTCTGGGCTGGTACAAGGTAAACTTGACAACATACCTGATTAATGCTGTGGTGAAGTTATGGATTTTTAAATGATTATTAAGGAAAATGCAGAACTATAACAGCATTTAATGTTTTAATCTAAAATTTAAAAACACACAAAATAACAGGACATTTTTTGCTTTGGACCTCAATTAAACTTGTTATTTAACTAACTTAATTTGGTTTTAAAATCAAGTTTAATGTTAGTTTTCAGCAGTAAATAGTTTGTATTCTTTGCCTTAAATCCAACTATAGTATTTTCAAAAGGTTATTAAGTTTTGGCAATAGACCAGCTTTGTTCTCTTGCAAGTATATCAGTGAAAATAGGGCTTGAGCAGTACATCCTTTTAGTTAGAAGCTTAATTCATTCCAGGGTTACCTGGAGACTGTTTTTAAGAAAGCTCTTACTTCGCAAGGTGCATTTCTCTCAATAGTCTTTTTTTTTTTTTTTTTTTTTTTCAGAGATGAGAACTATTGACTCTTCACAGTGCATGCCTTGGAAAATAATACAGAATCATTTATCATATATTGATTTGACATCACTTCATTAATATTATCACATAAGAAGGAACTTAAATGTTTATTTTGTCTGACAGTTTT